CCCCAAAACCCCAAAACCCCAAAACCCCGTATATTTTACCAGGTATTGAACCTTTCAAAATTTGGTGAATAGTTTAAGACATTTTTGGATCAGTAAACTCTTCAAATGACTAGTTATTTTGAAATACAGAGGGAGATTATTGTGAATCCTTCTCTGATCAAAAAGAGTAGTAATTTCCTCAAACACATACTGTCCTCCCAGAACTTTGAGAACGGAAGCTCTCTTACAAAACACAAGGAAAAAGATGAAGACAATGCAAGCGAAACTACTAGCTTCAAGAACAGCATCTGTACTGAATTCCTAGAAAACGACACTGAGGATATTGAGATTAAGAGCACCGCACCATCTCAGGACCTTACCCAGACTGATAAGCTTTCTGATTCAGAAAAGCTGCTTAAGATCTGTCAGAAATTAGCGAAGATTAAAATCATAATGATAAAAGCTAGGAATAATGTATGGACTGTAGATGGATTTAACTGCTTGTTCCAACATATTTTTGACTACTGCTCTCTAGAAACCATTGAAGACAAAATGCTGAAGAAGAAAGCAGTCATTCTAATGTTTGATACAGTTGAATACACGTCGTACTTCTTCAAAGTCTCCTCAGTCGATCTCTTAAGATATAGCAATGAGAAGACCAAGAAAATCCTAACTGAAATCTTTATTATGCACAATAATGACGTGAAGAAGATATTTACGACCTATTTTGGCGAGAAGATCCTGTACGAAGATATCATAGTTCCTTACCTTCCATGGCTATTCGGTCAGAAAGGAATTACAGCGAAATTGAGAGATATTCTGATAGAAAAGATTGAAGTAGAAGATGAAGATGCAACATATCCAGATACACAAGCCTGAGAGTTAGAAAAGACTATAGAAGAGAGTCCTACAGAAACCTGCTTGCTGATCAAGAAGTACTTGCATATTTATTATGCCTCAGTTATTTTAAACTCTCAATGGGACAATGAAGCAAAGACAGAGATCCTTAAGAAAATTTTATCTATCTTAGGATACAATTTTGAGAAATTTGATATCTTAAATACAAAAGTTTCAGGAGACAGCAAGCATTTCTTAATCAAGGTCCTTCATACGATATTTAGAACTCTAGGAGTTGACGATGAGCATTACCTTGAGAACTTATTGGCGAAGAAGAACAACAAAATTGGTCAAAAATATCACTTCAATAAATATGTTTCCAACATGATGGAACAAAAGGAAATAGGCAAAGAAGACGATAAGTACATGATATTTATGAAAAGCCTAGGGTACTTAAATGAGATGCTCTACAATAACCAAGGAGAACAAATGAGCCTAGAGATCAGAATGTGCCTAGTAGAGATGATCAATGGTTTCTTCCCAGAATTCTACAGTACTCTAGAAACATTAGAAGAGAAGCAAAATTTCTTACTCCAGATTCATAAATTCTCAAAGATTGCATTGAAGAGTTCTTCCGAAGATCAGATATTTCTGGAAGGAATGATGCATAACTTCATGTTTGGGCTGAAGTACACTCTTGATCATCAATCTTTAGTCGAAATTGTGCTGAGCACAATAACAAACTCCTTTAGCCTAGAAATTCTCCAGAACTATGTCCAAAAGATCCTCTGCTTTGTTGTCATGATAATGATGAGATTCCCTGAGAGCACTATTATTAAGAGTAAGATACGTGAAATTCTTGAGAAATATCTATCAGAAAAGAACCTAGAAAGAATCAGCCAGTACAAGGATTGCCAGTTTTTGCTCCTTGACTGCTTCAGGAAGGTGACACATTTTGAACCAATGCTCGAAAGACTCTCAGCAAGATTGTATAATAATGAGAACTCGACTAAAGAATCTCTCAGTGCTTGTGCTAATTCTTTGCATTATGAATTCAATAATGATCATAAACTGCTGACGCTGAAGTATCTGAACCAGTGAATTGAGAACTCTCAAAGACCAAACAGGGCCTCTACCAAAGGATTCTTTGGAAGAGTTACAGAGAGTATTAATGAAGCACTAGAAGATCCAGAAGTATTGAAGATCATCTATGACAATGTCATCAAGCTAAAATTGAAGATTTCTATCTTTCCTGAAGACTATAACTTCTTGAGTAGAGCCTGCTCCAAGTTCATTGCCTCAGTAGGAGTTGGAAAACCATTCATCACAGAAGGAGCTTCTGATAAGAGTAGAGCGAAGCCAAGACCTACAGAGCAAGAATTGATCTGCATATTTAAGAAGAAAGAACTTAATCTTGAAGAATGGTCCAGCGATGCTTGAGTGGTAGATATTGACGACATCAAGATTAGCAGAAGCAACTCAATTATGGTTGCTAAGAACCTTTACTTTAGACTAAAGGAGTTTCTGATGAATACTTCCAATCCTCTGAAACCTTATCTATACAGCTGCTGGAGGATCGAATATGCCATTTTAGATCAATTAGGTGAGAACTCCATCAAAAGAGAACGTGTATCCGACTTACTAAAATGATTCAAGATTACTAAAGAGAACAGAAAAGATATTTATAGGCTCCTTTACAAATTCACACACGAAGAGGTGGAGCCTCTTGAGGAAGGAGTAACATATCCAGAAGTTCCTTTTGGGAGATTTTGAATATATCTTACTGGGAAAATAAGATATACCAAATTTAAGGAAATATTTGAGGCAATCTGATGTCTCTTTAGAACAGAAGATCTTAGGATAATCAAACTCCTGTTCCCTTTCATCTTATACTACTGTATCAGGTTTTGTGAATATGACTCACCAGTTCTCGATGAAATAGGTGCTTACATTAATCAAGTTCTCTCAAATGGTTCAGAAGCTCACCTAAACCTGATTTTCCATACCTTGGATTACCTATCTATCTGTTTATGCCAAGACAAAGACTCGTTCAAGCATTTCATAGAAAAAGAGACTAACTTCAGATATGTCGAGAAGATCTTCACTCTGGACTTGATAGCGTACATTCACAAGAGTGAAGCGAAAGCTAACGTCCATGTGCTGATGGAATCACTCAAGAAATTCCCTGTTGCAGAGGCTACTTACAAAACCGTCAGAAAAATCCAAAAGTTATTGGGCTTTATATCTATGGAGAAGAAGAAAGAAGCTGCTAAGAGAGTCAAGCAACTCAAAAGATACGCTATGTACTTTGAAGAGCACCTCCGAAGGTCCATTGGTAGTAATGATAAGCAGGGTAAAAGGTCTTTGGGCACTTTCGAAAAAGAAAGCTTCTTCGAGGTCAATGACGAGAAGGATATTATCGAGATAGTCCATGTTTACCAAAAATTGATCCCTGAAGATTTTGACTATCCCTTCTTCAACTCTATTGTCAAGCATTATTCAGGAAAGACTTTTGATTTTAATGAGTTGTATTCACCCAAAATGAAAATCAAGAAGAAGATCACGAACAAAGCTCTCCAAGTATTTTCCCAAATAAGTAATACTGGCACTGTTGAGTATGAAGAGGAAAAAGATTGGAGCGACTCAGATTATTCAGAAGAAGAGTATTCTAAGGAATCTGAAGAAGAGAATAGCAAAGGGAGCCAAAAGAAAGACTTAAACTTCAGCAAATCGCATTTATGGAAGGATAACTCTGAAGAAAACTGGAAATACCTTGCTTCTTTATATGATGTTAGTCTAGTTAAGAACTTCCAATTAGATTCCTTATTGATGGATTTGACCATGAAAGAAGGAAAGAAATGATTTGAAGAACTACTAACTTTGATCTTATCCCAGATTTACAAGTTATTCCATGCTTTCCTAAGATCACCAAGTTTGACAGGAAAAGACTTCAAAGAAATGTCAGAGCCAGTGCTCTCTCTACTATCTGTTTCATACAAGAGCATAATGAAACCTCTCTCAGTTGCCGAAGGTGAGCTAGCGTACTCATACAAGATATATCTTCATGTGATCTACGAGATAGAGGCATTCATTGACATAATACAATCTATTATCAGTGAAAACTCCTCTGATATCATGGATGCCTTTGCAGCCAGTTGTAAGAGAAGTTGGGAACACATATTCAGCGAAATTGACCTAGAAAGATACATTGAGAAGATCAATAGATTCTTTGATAAGAGAACTCAAGATATCACAGAGAGGAGTTTTGATACCCTAGACCTGATACTTTCAGTGAGGAAAGCTTTATTTCATCTGATTGACAGACCTGCAGATTATTCTATGTATTGTTTGAAGCTTGCTAGACTCTACAGGAAAGCAAAAGGTGACCATGTGGTTATGTTCAAGCTATTCAAGTCAGCAAGTAAGAATAAAAACTTATTAGCCGGATTTGAAATTGAGAATGCAAAGTATATAATGCAAGTAAAGAACGCTCATGAGGCATTGGTTTATCTTGAAAAGGAGATGCAAAATATTGCAAGCAAAGAAATGAATCTAAGAAACAAAAGAGGAATATATCAAGTTCAAATGTGGAGCATGCCAGTTCTAAAAGCCAAAATGTATTGCTTGTACCTCAAAACTCAAATAGATATCCAGGATGATCGCTTACCCAGTGAATTTAATGATCTACTAAAGGAAGTTAAAGGCTTAAAATGGGAAGATGCACACTACCTTTTTGCTAAATATTTGGATGATAAAATGACACTCAAGGAGGCCAAAAATAAGCAGTTAAGCAATCAAGATGACAGATACAGTCTATTCAGGATCTCAAATTACATTTACTCTCTTTGATATGGTCAAAGAAGGCTATGGGAGATTCTTCCACGAACTATTGATCTCTGGTTTGAACAGTGTGAGCAAGGTTCTCCGAATATCGATAGGATAAGCAAGAAATTATATGAGCTTGAAAATTTCAAAATTGCACAATGCCTACAAACTTTATTGTCTAAATTCAGCCAAAGATCCTCTAGGACGTATGTTGGAAACATGATAGCAAAACTAGGAGCTTTCTATCCCTCCCAAATGTGTTGGTGGATCCTCCATTTCAAGAACTTCTACTTTACAAGTATTCCAGCAGGAAAGAAAAAGACCAAAAGTGCTGAAATAAAATGTGACGAAGATGATAGAAGAGAGTTTGCAGACCTCATCATGACTAAGATTTAAGAAACTTAATGATTCAAGTTTCAGGATCATCAAAAGTTCAGAAGTGATATTCAAGAAGATCATCAAGCTCTCAGAGTCAAATGAGAAATGAAATAAAGAACAGTTATTCAATTTAAGTACTTCCCTCTGAAGGGAAGATTTCTCATCGTATAAAGTTGCGATCCCTATTGCAGAGAACATGCTACCCAGAATCCCAAAGTATGGTGAAGTCAAGGATATCTCAAGCTTCTCTGCGTTTAAGAAATATCCTGTCTACATCAAAAAGTTCTTCTCTGTTGGAAGAGTCATGACCAGTAAGGAGAAACCAAAGAAAATCGGCCTTGTAGGTACAGACGATAGGGTGTACTTTTTCCTAGTGAAAAGTGATCAGCACGGAGACCTCAGAAAAGAAGGAAGATTTATGGAGTATGCTAACCTTGTCAATAAAGTTCTTGACCAAGACTTTGAAAGTCTTCAAAGAAACCTCAGAATGGACTTATTCTCAATAGTACCCTTGAACAGAATTTGAGGTTTGATTGAATGGATTGATGATACTCTTACCATAAAGTCAGTAGTCACTGATTACTGGAAAAAGGAAGGAATAAAACTAGATATGCAAGATGTCAAGAAATTAGCAGCAGAAAATAAAGGAAATACTCATGAGGATATCTGGGATTCTCTTAAAACCAAAGCCTCTCCGATGCTCAACAACTGGTTCTTTGATAGATTCCCAACTCCTTCTCTCATGTTTGATGCTAGGCTAAACTTCATCAGGTCTACTGCAGTTTGGTCAATGGTGGGATATATCATAGGTCTTGGAGACAGACATGGAGACAACATTCTTATACACAAGGGCAAAGGATCTTTAACTCATGTAGATTTCGACTGCATCTTTGAGAAAGGAGCGAAGCTAAAAGTCCCAGAAAAGGTGCCATTCAGATTAACAAAGAACATAATTGACGCCTTTGGTATCTTCAAAGAGCAAGGTACTTATATCAAGTGATGAGAGGTTGTCTTGGAAGTCATGAGAGAAAATAAAACGAAATTTGGAGCATTCCTTGACTCTTTCATACACGATCCACTTATCGAAAGTAAGAATAGCGTTTGAGTAAACATGAAGGAAGCTCTCAAACAAGTGAAACTCCGACTAGATGGTTACATGGATGAGAATTCAGGAGTACTCAAACCCCACGAACAAGTCTTACGGGTAATTCTTCGAGCACTGAATGATGAATACCAAAAGAAAATGTTCATAGGATGGATGCCTTGGCTGTAAAGAAAAAGTAATTGTAAAATATTTCGAAATATACTATTTACCTTTAAATCATTTTGTTCTAAAGTAATCTTCATATGGAAATGTATGGTTTTGACGGACCTGAGTCACCACTTTTTAAAGCACAAGCTTCAGTATGAAATATCTTGGGGTGAAATCTTCAATTTCATTTCAAAATTTAGGGGTTTTGGGGTTTTGGGGTTTTGGGGTTTTGGGG